GTTGGGGTAACCAGGTGAGGGTATTAAGGAGGGTACATGTTGTGATGAGCACTGGGTGTTATACACAACTGAGGATTACAACTTTGTAATACAGCTTGAAGTCTGGCATTGTGATGCCACCAGCTTTGGTTTCCTTTTTCAACATTCTTCTGGCTATTCGGGGTCTTTTCTGGTTCCATACAAATTTTAGGATTGTTTGCTCCAGCTCTGTTAAAAATGTTGATGGTATTTTGATAGGGATTGCATTGAAAGCGTAGATTGCTCTGTGTAGCATAGACATTTAAACAATATTTATTCTTCCAATCCATGAGCATGGAATGTTTTTCCATCTATTTGTGTCTTCCTCAATTTCTTTCATAAGTGTTCTGTAGTTTTGAGAGTATAGATCCTTTACCTCTTTGGTTAGGTTTATTTCTAGGTATCTTATGGTTTTTGGTGCAATTGTAAATGGGATCAGTTCCTTAATTTCTCTTTCTCTGTCTCATTGCTAGTGTATAGAAATGCAACTGACTTCTGTGCATTGATTTTATATCCTGCAACTTTGCTGAATTCCTGTATGAGTTCTAGCAATTCTGGGGTGGAGTCTTTTGGGTTTTCTACATAAAGCAGAGTGATTGTTTGACTTCGTCTTTGCCAATTTGAATGCCTTTTATTTCTTTTTGTTGTCTGATTGCTGAGGCTAGGACTTCTAGTATGATGTTGAACAACAGTGGTGAGAATGGGCATCCCTGTCATGTTCCTGACCTTAGGGGAGAAGTTCTCAGTTTTTCCCCATTGAGGAAGATATTTGCTGTGGGCTTTTCATAGATGGATATTTTAATATTGAGGTATGTTCCCTCTATCCCTACACTGTGGAGAGTTTTATTCAAGAAAGGATGCTGTATTTTGCCAAATGCTTTTTCTGTATCAATTGAGAGGATCATATGGTTCTTGTCCTTTCTTTTATTAATGTGATGTATCACATTGATTGATTTGCAGAGGTTGAACCAACCTTGCAGCCCAGGAATAAATCCCACTTGGTCGTGGTGAATAACCCTTTTAAAGTACCGTTGGATCCTATTGGCTAGTATCATGGTGAGAATTTTGGCATCTATGTTCATCAGGGATATTGGTCTGTAATTCTCCTTTTTAGTTTTAGGATGAAGGTAATGCTGGCCTCATAAAATGAGTTTGGAAGTTTTCCTTCCATTTCTATTTTTTGAAACAGCTTCAGAAGAATAGGTATTAATTCTTTAAATGTTTGGTAGAATTCCCCTGGGAAGCCTTCTGGACCTGTACTCTTGTTTGGTGGGAGAGTTTTGATTACTGCTTCAATTTCCTTGCTGCTTATGGGTCTGTTCAGGTTTTCTACTTCTTCCTGTTTCAGTTTTGGTAGTTTATATGTTTCTAGGAATGCATCCATTTCTTCCAGATTGCCTAATTTGTTGGCATATTGCTGCTCATAATATGTTCTGATAATTGTTTGTATTTCCTTGGTGTTGGTCATGATCTCTCCCCTTTCATTCATGATTTTATTAATTTGGGTCCTTTCTCTTTTCTTTTTGATAAGTCTGGCTATGGGTATTAATCTTATTAATTCTTTCAAGGAACCATCTTCTAGTTTCATTGATTTGTTCTACTGTTCTTTTAGTTTCTATTTCATTGATTTCTGCTCTGATCTTTATTATTTCTCTTCTTCTGCTTGGTTTAGGCTTTATTTGCTGTTCTTTCTTCAGCTTCTTTAGGTGTAAGTTTAGCTTGTGTATTTGAGACTTTTCTAATTTCTTGAGAAAGGCTTGTACTGCTATATACTTCCCTCTTAGGACCACCTTTGCTGCATCCCAAAGGTTTTGAACAGCTGTGTTTTCATTTTCATTTTTTTCCATGAATTTTTTAAATTCTTCTTTAATTTCCTGGTTGACTCATTCATTCTTTAGTAGGATATCTTTAACCTCCAAATATTTTAGTTCCTTCCAAATTTCCTCTTGTGATTGAGTTCAAATTTCAAAGCATTGTGTTCTGAAAATATGCAGGGAATAATCCCAATCTTTTGGTAGTGGTTGAGACCTGATTTGTGATCCATTATGTGATCTATTCTGGAGAATGTTACATGTGCACTTGAGTAGAATGTGTATTCTTTTGCTTTAGGATGGAATACTCTGTATATACGTGTGAAGTCCATCTGATCCGGTGTAACATTCAAAGCCCTTGTTTCCTTGTTGATCTTCTGTCCATTGCTGTGAGTGGGGTGTTAAAGTCCCCTACTATCATTATATTATTATCAATGTGTTTCTTTAGGTTTGTTATTAGTTGGTTGATATAATCCACTGTTCCCAAGTTAGAAGCATAAATATTTATAATTGTTAGATCTTCTTGTTGCATAGACCCTTTAAGTATGATATAGTGTCCCTCTTCATCCTTTACTACAGTCTTTGGTTTAAAATCTAATTTGTCTGATATAAGGATTGCTACCCCAGTTTTCTTTTGATGTCCATTAACATGATAAATAGTTCTCAACTCCCTCACTTTCAATCTGGAGGTGTCTTTAGGTCTAAAATGAGTCTCTTGTAGACACCATATGGATGAGTCTTGCTTTTTTATCCAATCTGATAACCTGTGTCTTTTTATTAGAGCATTTAGTCCATTTACATTCAGAGTAACTATTGAAAGATATTAATTTAGTGCCATTACATTGCCTGTAAAGTCCCTGTTTCTGTATATTGTCTCTGTTCCTTTCTGGTCTATGTTCCTTTTGGGTCTCTCTTTGCTTACAGGATCCCCTTTAATATTTCTTTCAGGGCTGGTTTAGTGATCACAAATTCTTTTAGTTTCTGATGGCCCTGGAAGCTCTTTATCTCTCCTTCTATTCTGAATGAATGGATTATCCTTGCTGGATAAAGTATTCTTGGTTGCATGTTTTTCTCATTTAGTACCCTGAATATATCATGCCAGCCCTTTCTGACCTGCCAAGTCTCTGTGGCTAGGTCTGCTGCCAGTCTAATGTTCCTACCCTTGTACTTTAAGTACCTCTTGTCTCAGGCTGCTTTCAGAATGTTCTCTTTATGTCTGAAATTTGCAAACTTCACTATTATATGTCTGGGTGTTGATCTATTTTTATTGATTTTGAGGGGAGTTCTCTGTGCCTCCTGGACTGAATGCCTGTTTCCTTCCCCAGATTAGGGAAGTTCTCAGCTATGATTTCCCCTAAGATAGCTTCTGTCCCTCTCTCTCTTCTTCCTCTGGGACACCAACAATTCTAATGTTGTTTTGCTTTGTGGTATTGCTGATTTCTCAAAGCCTCCTGTCATGGTCCATTAGTTGTTTTTCTCTCTTTTCCTCAGCTTCCTTTTTTCCATAATTTTGTCTTCTATGTCACTGACTCTCTCTTCTGTCTCATTTACCCTAGCTGTTAGAACATCCATTTTAGACTACATCTCAGTTAAAGCATTTTTTATTTTGGCCTGATTAGATTTTATTTCTGCATTAAGAGATTCTCCAGTGTATTTTATGCTTTTTTCAATCCCAGCTAGTAATTTTATAATCGTTATTCTGAATTCTAGTTCTGACATTTTACTTATATCCATATCGATTAAATGTATGGCAGAGTATTACATCTGGTTCTTTCTTTTGTTGTGAATTTCTCCCTCTAGTTATTTTGTTCAGAGAAGAACAGATGAATGAGAGAATAAAATTAAAAATGTCAACCACGACCCCAGTGAAATACACACTAGGCAAATCTGAAGAGGTCAGAAACCAAAAAAGGGGAAAAAGAGAGAATATAATCTCACACCTGGACAAAACAGGATGATCTACTTGGACCTAGGTGTATTTTGGTCTGTTTGTTAGAAGATACTAAGTCCCAAAATTGTAGAGAAAACAAAAATTATATATATATATAATTGAATACAGTAAAAGGAAGCCTGAAGGCTTTTCATGCTGCTTTAGAGGATTAAAAAAAAAAAAAAAAAAAAAAGGCAGTGCCCCATCTCCAGCCCTGGAGCTGAATGATCTCTGCCCCCACTCTTCAGGGCACCCTCAGGGAAAAGCAGTCAATCCCTATTGTGTATGCCAAACTCTGTAGACTCCTGCAGTGCACACCCACACCAATCCTCCTAGGGGAGGGAGGGCATCTCACCAAGGCCCTGCTGCTTTCTGGGTCCCTGCTCCAGGAGCAGTTGCCTGATTGTGGCAGGGTCTCCCAGCAGTTGTCACTTGGAGACACTTGTAGCTTGGAGAATAGTCACCCAATCATGCCACAGTTCGAGATTTATGGCAACACTGAGCTGAGAGGCCACTCAGGGGCTCCCTGATTGTAGCCAGGTTCCCACTCCAATGCTTGGGAACTCTGCCACTCTCAGATACCCCCACTCTTTCTGTGACCCTGGGGACCCTGAGACCACACTGTCCCACCTAGGACTCTGCCCCACTTCACCACCTGAGCACCTTTCAGGCAGGGATATCCGTCACAAACACAGACTTCTAAAAGTTCTGATTTTGTGCTCCACTGCAATATCATTTCCCCTAGCCAGCTTACACAGGCTCCCTCCTCCCATGGTTTATCTTCTGATATATCCCCTCACATTCACTTCCCTGGACCTCCTACCTTGAAAAAGTGGTCGCTTTTCTATCTGTAGAATTGAAGCAATTCTTTTCTTAGATCTCAGGTTGAATTCACAGGTGTTCAGAATGATTTGATAGCTATCTAGCTGAATTCAAGGGAAATGAAACGCAGGTCCCCTACTCTTCTGCCATCTTCCTTCTCCCTCTCCCTCCCAGAACCATCTTGTGTTATTGATATATACATTTGAAAAGAATAATGGAAGGTTATATACCAAAATGTAAGTGGGATGTTTTCTCTGAGTAGAAAGTAATTATGGGAAGTTTTTATTTCATTTTTATATTTTTCATATTACTTTTTAGACTAGGAAAACAAAAGATTTATTAAAATAAAAAGGAGGCACAAAGGGGAGGCAGGATCCAGCCTCAGAAACAAAGGCTTCAGCCTGTGGCTCTCCTGACAGGCCATCCAGATCCTGATTGGCCTGATACACATTGGCCTCGGTTCCATCATGGCCACCGTACTCTCTGGACACTACACAGCTATCTCACTCTATGGAGGCTTTCCCTTCTGGGGAGGCATCTGGGTAAGTAATGTGAGTCACCCCACCCCACGAGTGAGTTCCCAGAATGTGCCAACACACTCAAGGCCACCTTGTCAAGTTGTGTGGCTTGCACCTTGCAGCAGGTTCCCAGCCAAGGGAACAAGCGGGGTGTGAATCCAGCCCAGGCATTGCTTACCAAGCATGTTAGTTTGCTAAGGCTGCTGTGACAAACAGCACAGACTGAGTGGCCTACACAACAGAAATGCATTCTCTCACAGTTCAGAGGCTGGAAGTCCAAAATCAAGGTGTCACCAGGGTTGTTTCTTCTGAGACCTCTCTCCTTGGCTTGCAGATGGCCACCTTCTCTCTGTGTCTCCATGTGGTCTCAGTGTGTCCATGTCCTAATAATCCCCTCTTCACATAAGCACACCAGTCATATTGGATTAGAGCCACACTAATGATCTCACTAAGACTTAAAGGCCCCATCTCCAAATATAGTCACATTCTGAGGTACTGGGGGGTTAGGATTCAAAAGATGAATTTTGAGGGGACACTGTTCAGCCATAACACCAAGTGACAGCCCTACAAGGTGCCATTCACCCAGAGTGGGCACATTTTCTAATTGGCTCACCCCACAGGTCAGGGAACTTTCTTCTCATTCATCAACCCAGGAGTGGCACCTTTTTCCAACTCATACAACAATGTCCATGTGTAAAAAGATGTATTGGTAATAGCTTTCAAGTGTTGTTCAACATAGGCCCACAGCCTGAGCTCCAGGAGAACACTTGACCAGTGGTTGAGAGTGGCTGCCCAGGCACAGAACAGTCATTAAGCAATGGGCACTCAACCTGGAGTCCACAGATGGGCTTCAGAGTCCCCATTTTGGCAAAATATTTGGTATGCTAGATATGTATTTTTTTTTTCCTGGAAAAGTCCATAGGTTTCATCAGATTCTCAGGGTGATTTATGACTCCATAAAAGGTTAAAAAACACAGATCCTTTCTCTTCTCCAATTTACTGCTTTTTTGAATCTTTTGCATTCTCCCTAGCATCCTCGCAGCTACACACACACACACACACACACACACACACACACACTCCTTCCTTCTCCCTGTCCTCCCTCCCACGTCCTTTTTCTCTCTGCTGTTACAGTCTTTGTCTCTGGACTCACACACCTATCTATGATTCAAAGCAACTTTTCTCACAAATAGCAAAACTCCAGAGTAACCTAGATAATCAAAGTCCTCCCCTTATCCCATGACATTTAAATGAAATCGCCTAGTGTTATCCCCCACCCTCATACCCACATAACACCTGCAAAATGGCAGGCTCATGTTCTTGGGAGAATCTTTCTCTAGTACCTACTCTTTCTTGTTTCCTTCTGGGTCTCATTCACTGAGGCTGTGGTCCTCTCTCTGCTTTGCATGGACTCAGACTTGGAACTCAGCCCCTATTCCTCTCCCCCAGCCCTGCGTTTGTATAACCCATTTTAATGGAGTTTGGGACAATGGAGTGGCTAACACCATGGCCACAGAATGGCTTGCTATTGAGCATTGGATGCTAGTGAGTACTTTTAAGTGCCTGGAAATTTCCCTGGCATCTTCCCTTCTGCCAGGTTGATCAGCTCTCGTGACCATCCCCCCCTTTTATACCTGCAGGGCAGTTTTGTTCTTGGTTGCCTTTTTGACTCCAGGACTATGTATTTCCTAAAGATCATGAATGTCCTTTTCAAAAACAAAGGCCCATATTCTTTGGCACCTTAAAAGGACCCGAAGGGACCTCAGAAGGCCAGCCTCTTGTTCCCTTCCCTCCCCATCAAGTCTCTATAAACAGAAGGGTATAAGAATGAGATTTATTTTTCCACATTTAGGAAAAAATACCATTCCCTTTAAAAGGCATAGGAAGCTAGAGTAACTTTTCATTATAAAACCATTTCCACCCCATGGCACATGCATCTACCCTGAGTGGGAGGGTATGTGGGATAAGGGTTAAGAACACAGGGTCTGGGGGTACCTGGGTGGGTCAGTCAGTTAAGCGTCTGCCTTCAGCTCAGGTCATGATCTCAGCATCCTGGGATCCAGCCCTGCGTTGGGCTCCCTGCTCAGCGGAGAGTCTACTTCTCCCTCCCCCTCCCCTCCTTTCCTTCCCTCCCTCCCTTTCTTCCTTCCCTCCCTCCCTTCCTTCCTTCCTTCCTCCCATGTTGACTTGGAGGCCCCAGCACAGGAACCTAGTGTGTACAAGAGAATATGTGTGACCAGAATCCTGGAGGCTGGAAGATGGAACGCTAACCTGGGGACTTTTTCTAAACCTCCTCTCTTCTGTGCCAGTTCATTGTTTCAGGATCCCTCTCAGTGTCAGCAGAAAATCAGCCAAAATCTTCTTGCCTGGTAAGTCACCTCCTGACACAGGCTCTCCCAGCAGAGACCTATAGGAGAACACTCTGGGGAAAAGAAGGTTAACACAATCCCTCCCTCATCCTCTCACTTACATCTAACCAGACGCAGGGCACTGACACACGTGCTCACTCATACTCACATGCAGGACCACATGAACCTGGACAGAGTCATGGTAGGAAGGAGTCCAGAAGATTCTGGGGAGGAAAGGGCAACACAGCCACCTGAATTAAGGCAGACACAGAACAGTGTCCCTAAGAGGTGCCTACAGGAGGAGTCACAAAGCTCCTGGGGGCTCAGGCTCCACTCCAGATGAGCAGGCACTGACGGTGCCTGGGGCACACAGAGCAGGCCTCCAGCCATTTCTGCAGGGAAGCCAGGGGAAGGTCAACCACCTGCTTCCCTAAGGAATCCAGCCAAGCGAGCTCTGCTAACCACATGAACAAGGTCCCCTAGCAATAGACCAAGAAAGTACCTTTTTTTCTTTCACAAGCAGGTTGTCTAGGGTGAAGGGCCTCAGGATGGCCAGGTCCCTGTGCCAGATGAGACCTATTTGAAAATCTCCAAAGGGAAGCTCAAAATTCTGGGCATGTCTTTCTGCACATGGCCCAGAATCATAAAGGATCAGAGCCTGTCATATCCCAAGACACAGGGGCTGAGCTTCCTACCTATCTCACACAGGATAAGCAGGTTGAGTGTTTCCCAAAGAGTTGTCCTAGGGACACTTGTCCCATGAGATACTCTGTGAAGATGAGTAGGTAAACTTGGGGAAACCTCTATTTAGTAGTCTGCTCTCTGGAAGATCCATAATCCTTGTTAAAGGCTTTGACAAGTCTTACAGCAAAGACCTATTTAACTTTGTTCAACCCAGCTTTTTTTCAAAGTTAATTTACCCACACACTTTTTTGCACAGAACATCTCTTTCCTTACTACAGAATTAAGGTTCTAGAGATTCACATTAAGAAGCACTTGTTTAGTCTCTGTTCATCTCAGCAACAATAATTTTCCTCTCCCACCCTGATCCTCTGTGTCTTCTTCAGCTGAATGGCAGCTTGGGCTTGAACATCGTCAGTGCAATCTGTTCTGTGGTTGGAATCATACTCTTCATCATGGATATGAGTCTCGCCCCCACCTATGCCTACTCTCTCTCTTATTCCCACTATGCCACCTGGGGCATGGTAAGTACCCCGCTGAACCAACGTTCCTCTGAGTTCTGATTTAGTTAGGTTTACCAAATTGTTAGAAGGCCCAAACCAAGCTTCTTCACCCAGCACTGTAGAGAAGAATCAGAACAGTGTGTAAAGCCCCCGACCTATAGCTTTACTGCTGTGCTACTTTGAGCACGTGACTTTTCTTAGTCTTAGTTTCTACCTTTATAAAACAGTACCTACCTTATAACATTGGCAGAATTAAATGCAATTATAACACACATGTGCCTCCAGCTGCTCACATTCTCACCTCCCTGCCTGTGACTGTGGACAAGCAGTCAGCAAAAGTTTTCTGCAAAGGGCCAAAGAATAAATATTTAAGACTTTGCAGGCCCTCTGGTTTCTGTTGCAACTACTCAACCCTATCCTACAGTGGGAAAGCAGCCATAGAAAATACATAAGCAATGAGCATGGCTGTGTTCTGATAAAGCTTTACTTACACAAATAAGCAGCAGCCAGGATTTGGCCCATGGATCATAATGTACCAACCTGTGCTGACCAATAGAAATATAACGTGAGTTGCATGTCTGATTTTAAATTTTCTAGTCACCACCTTAAAAAAAAAGAAGAAAAAGAGACAAGTGCAATTAATTTTAGTATTTTATTTAACCCAATATATCCAAAATGGTCATTTCAACATGTAATCTGTGTAAAAAATTATCAATTTGATATTTTGCATTTTGGGTACTCGGTCTTTGAACTCTGGTGTGTATCATGCACATCTCACTTTGGGACTAGCCGCTTCCCAAATGTCCAACAGCCACATGAGACTTGTGACTCTGGGACTGACAAGTGAGCGCAGCTACAGACAAGTCCTTGTAGATTCAGCCCCTCCATCTGCCCGGCAGCCCATCCTCTCCTTCCCAGTCACATGATCGAGGTGTTTTCCTAAAAGATGACTACCCTTCCCCTTAGAGAAGGAAGTAGTAGTGCCAGTAGTAAGTGTTCAAGTAACGATTCTTTTACAAACACACTTGACCCTCACAAAAACCTGGTGAGACGAGGTTAGGGGACTTCCTCAGAGCCACAGGGACAGTCCCCTGCAGAGCCCCACTTGGAGCCAGACCTCGGACGCCTGGACCAGCACTCCTGACGTCCTACTCGCTCTGGTTCCAGACCCCTGGCATGGCTATTTCTGGTATGCTGCTCATCTTCTGCCTCCTGGAGTTCTGCGTAGCATGTGCATCTTCCCGCTTTGGCTGCCAGCTGGTCTGCTGTCAGCACAACTACGTGAGTCCAGAGGCTCCTCGGTGGGTGGGAAGATTCCCCAAAGAGGGTGGAGACTAAAGGGATCTCCATGCTTCCCCTTCCTGCCCAGGAGCAGGAGAAGTCTCGCAGGGCGTAAAGGCCTCCATGCCTGCCTGGTCCTTCTCTCACCCTTATTAGTGCACCTCCTGTGCACCCGTGTTTTCCAGGTGGGTGTGGTCCTCCCGAATATCTGTGTGGCAAACCCAGGGGTCATCCCAGAACCAGTGGACTTGCCACCAACTTATTTCAACGAGGTCCAGGGCTCCAGATAAGCAAAGCCAAAGCTTCTAGAAGCAACTTTCAAAGAGACCAAAAGAAGACCTCCCCTTCTGGGCTTCTGAAACCCAGGATCCCCCTTCCTTGACAATCTAAGGGAAATGTTTCTCTAGCTGCATGCATCTTGACTTCATTCAATTCCGCATGGTAAATCTTGCAGTTCCTCTATTAAAAAGGAGGCAGAAATTTAAAGTGGATTTTAACAAAGAGATCCTCCCTAGGGCATTTGTGCCTGGGGCCTTGTGTGCTTCCCTGAGTGAGCTCATGGGTTGGAAGTGCCAATGTCTAGACAACCCAACCTTCACTCTTTCAGTCATTCGTTTGTTGATTAAATATGTACCGAGTATTTGATGTGTTCAAGGAAGTTTAACACTGGGGAACACAACAAAGTCCCTGACTTCAAGGAACTTCTGGCCTCACAGAGAAGACAATTATGCAAGCAATTTTCTCTAACACAGGGCAGAATGTGGGGACTCACAGAGAGAGAACAGAGAGGGCTATGATTTATTCTGACAGTGATCGGGAAAGCAGAGAACAAGCCTGGTTGAGGAAGCAACACTTGAGTGGGGCATTAAAGGGGGTTTTTTAGTGCAATAAGGAACCACACTGTTGGGGAGATCTTGGGACAGAGTGAGTCATCCACTACCATGACCAATCCTTTTATAAGCCCTGCGTCCACTGATGTAGCAGTGCTTGTGAATAAACATTGTCTTAAGATAAGGTATCTCCCAAAGTTATGAGGCTAATATATCTTTATTTATAAAAGGATAGAGACTAATTCAAAGAGAAATGGCTATGTCTATAACTTCTAGATCTACCCGCATTAATCTAAATATTGTTATACGTGATGGCAATTGGCTTTGAAAAGTTTATATGCTGGCAGATAATAGCAACAATCTCTGACATCCAGGTGCCATCAAATTTCCCTTCACTACAGAAGCCCTGCAAGAACTCTCTGTTGTTGTCACTAAATACAGAACATGATTTTACTCTTGTAAATATTTTTAGCCTCTGATTTTATCCAAGAAGTTTCTTCTAAATGACTTGTGGTTTAGAGCTCCATCTCCTGGGTGGCTCAGTCATTGAGCGTCAGCCTTCGGTTCGGGTCATGGTCCCAGGGTCCTGGGATTGAGCCCCACATCAGGCTCCCTGCTCTGCGGGAGGCCTCCTTCTCCCTCTCCCACTCCCCCTACTTGTGTTCCCACTCTCGCTGTGTCTCTCTCTGTCAAATAAATAAATAAAATCTTTAAAAAAAAAAAAATAGAGTTCCATCTCCTGCATCTGTGTCTTCTTTGACCAGGAATCCTATGGATACCCATCAGCTGGTCAGGAATGACAGAGATTCCAAGACTGCAGGTGGGTTTTCATTTGCTAGAACTGAACAGGTCTTAGGAAATCATGGACAATAAAAATGTAATATGGGGCATGTAATATCCTAGTTTTAGACCAGCCCTTCACCCATCTGTTTTGTAAGCTGAGATATTAGGACATTGGGCTCCCCAAAAGGGACTGGCCTGGTTGGACCTCTCTTGGAGGTCTGGATGGGCAGAGCAAGTCTGGCCTTCTTTCTGCCCCTTACTTACTGCTGCCTCTCACCGCCCCATCTGATTCCACACCTTCTCACTCCACAGAACTGAAACCCTCGACTATGATCTCCCACTTGGTTCTCAGAGTCTCCTTACTGACTTGTCTGACCTGTGAGTTAACTCAGACACTCCTGATGAGTCTCACCTCCTACAGTGCGGGTTGTCTTGGAGAGCATATCTTCTCGCACACCTGGTGCTTCCCTGGATAGGTGGCACTTGCCACCTGCCACCTGAAATCACTCTGGGGCTTGGTGGGATAGAGTACCTTTCCTATCCTACCACCTATTAGTCCTGGGTGCTAGACCGTTCATTCCAGATGGCCCCATCACCAGCCTGAAGTGACAGCATGCTGCCTCCCATGGACAGCAAAGTTTGTCCTTGCTCTGCACCGTTCCACAAGATGTTCATCTGCACAACTCCATTCACTCCCAGCCTCCCCAGAACAGTGGAGCATAGACACTGGAAGAGACCTTGGAAATTTAACACCATCAGCCCAGCCAGGAGCACAAGCAGGACTAGAACCAAAACTCCAAATGGCCCATCCAAGGCTCCTTGCAGAAGCAGGGACACATCATAGAAAAATAGGGTGATGACAGTCAGAGACACTGTCTCTGCCTCCTGAGCTGCCACCACACTCCTGGCTTTCTCCCCCAACTCCCCATCCAGTGACGATTTTGCTGTCCCCAAATTCACCAGTACCCTCCAGTAGCTCTGTTTCCATATTTATCTCACTTGACCTCTGTAGGATTTAACCCAACAAACCACTCTCTCCTTAAAACACTAGGCTAGTTCTGCACCAGCTTCTCCAGATGCCCTTTTCATTCTCTTATGTGAGCTCCTCTCTCTCTCCTTGGCCCTTGAGCATTGCTCTCCAATATGGCACTGCCCTTGGCCCCTTTTCTCAGCCCAGGTACTCAAGCTCGTCTCCTGGGAACCTGAGATTCAAATCTGAAGGGAGATGGAGATTCAAATGTGCTAATCAGTGCATGAAAGCGCTATAAAGTGTTTATACTGTTTTTCAGTCAGACCTTGAGTCCCAGGGCTCATCACTCCCCAGTTGGGGATTTCTGATGAAAAAGGTCATTCTATTTCCTAGTTGATATGCCTGCCCCCATCTCCTCCAACGGCAAGTTCAATTGCCACCTCCACAGGGAAGCTGTCTTAGGTTCCCATGGCCAGAAGCATCCAAGGAAAAGCAGGCCTGTGGTGGGAGCAAGAGGGAAGTGTACAATGTGACCTGGCAGTGATGATGTTCAGGGTTTAACCTTGAGGGTTTTTTTTTTATCTTGACTGAAAAAAAAATCTGATTTTTGTGTTATCGTTGAAAAAAAACAGTAGAAGTGTGGCTATGTGTCCCAGTAGTGACTTCACACTTGGAACATTTATGGCTCCTGCCAAATACCCTAAGACCTTTGGGATTCCACTGGGGAGGTATACTCAGTCTTTGGAGGGTGCATTACAACATCAGTAGGTGTGTCGTGTCAAGGAAAGACCTATTTCCCAGGACCCAGCCCCAGTGTCATGTTATAGCCCATACTTCCCTGACTTTTCCTTCCCAGGACTCTTACTGCCCACAGTTTACACCATTCAGATGGAGTCAGTCTTCCTGGGTACAGACACAATATCTTCAACAGCTCCTAGCTCTCTTGCCAGTCTCAGGATGAGACTTAGCACATAGCAGTGTTACCGAACACTTCCTAGAATGAGAAGTATCCTCTTGCTTCCAGGAATGAGTCCCTTACATACCCACTCACTCAGTCCTCCAGTGACAGGAAGTACCTACTGGATGCCCGGTGCTGGATGCACAGTGGTGAACGGAGCAGATGTAGTTCCTGCCCTCCTGGAGATGACACGCCTGAGTGCGTGACAGGCGAGTCACATGATCGGTTAAGTGATGAAAGTGATGGGGAAACAAACATGGTGTTCATCTAGACATTACTGGGGAAGGGGAAGAGGGCAGAGTTTCTGAATGGAAGGCCCCTCTAAAGAGGAGATGTGAAGAATAAGAATAACTAGCCATACAGAAAGTGAAGTAAAAACCAATCCAGGCAGAGAGAAGAAGCCGTGCAAAGCTCTCCTTGTGGGAAAGAGCTTGGAGTGTCCGGGAAACTGGAAAGAAAGCCAGTGCAGCTGGAATCTAGTGAAGGAGATGGGGAATATCTCAAGAAGGGGCTGGAAAAGCAGGCAGGGGCCACAGAGGGCATTGGATTTTATTCTAGGGCTAAAAGCCATTTTAGAGCCATTGGGTGGCTTTATGCAGGAGAGTGATGTAATCCCGTTTACAGTTTGAAAGATCATTCTGCCTGCTTTGTAGGGAAGGGATAGGAGAAGGGTGAAGGCAGGAAGCAGGGGGTCCCAGAGGAGATTCAGTGATAGTCCAGGACAGGAGCTGGCAAACTAAGGCCTGTGCGTGAGCCATATCTGGCCCACCATGTGTTTTTGTCAATAAAGTTTTATTGGAACACAGCCAGGCCCATTTGTTTGCTGGTTGCTTCTGTGCTACAACAGCAGGGTTCAGTAGCATGACAGAGACCATACAGCCTGCAAAGCCTAAAATATTTACTATCTGGTTCTTTGCAGACAAGGGTGCTGACCCTAGAGATAGATGATGATGATGATACAGTTATTGTCCTTTGTGTACCAGAATCATGATGTTCCAAGCTATTCACTCACGGTGGGAAAGAATTGGCTATGACCTACTTATCTTCTCTTGCCCTTGGCAATCAGACTCTCCCAGTGAAATCAATTAAGATGGGAGCTGTAAGCACATGACCACAGTTAGAGGAAGTGCATGGGGAGATAGGTTCCCATTAACAATCCACTGAATGCCTGGACTAGGTAGTTGACAGTGGAGACAAAGAAGCGGGTTTGGGACATGGCTTGGCGGGGAGATCTCTAGGGTTCATGGACTGTGTGGGATGGGTGGAAGAAGAGGGGGAAATTGAGGGCAATGTCAAGGTTTCTTCCTTAAGTAACTGGGTGAACAGCCGTTTACTGGAATGGGGAAGACTGGTGTAGGAAAAATTTCAGGAGAAAGCCCAAATTTCAGTAATATTGTCCTCAAAAGTTTATAGGAGCATACCATTCCAGAGGTGGCCAAGAACTTAAAGATAACCTCTATTTGATACTTGAATATCCTCTATCATTGCCCCTATATGTATAATATCGGCATTCACCTGGGAGCCTCTTGGCCCTACCCCAGACTTGCTTAATTAGGAACTCTGAGGGTGGGGTCAATTAATCTGTTTTTTAGCAAGCCTGCCAGGTGATTCTGATGCTCAGTCAAGTTTGAGACTGCTCCACAGAACCTCCTCAAATGACTTCTCCTTCTCATTTTGAGCACCGTACATGGTGCTGTATATTATGCGTGTCTCCAAAGGCAGCCCACGCCATCCTTAGACAACTCTATT